GAAAAAGAGTTGCTGATTTTGTGTTGTGGTTTTGAAAAATGCTAAGAGTATCATGGTCTGCTAAAAGGACTAACAAATCTGTCCTGGAAGAAGTGCAGTCAGAATTCTCCTTGGAAGCGAGAATGGCCAGACGTTGTCTCACCTACTTTGGTCATGTTGTCAGAAGGAACCATTTCCTGGAGAAGGATATCATACCTGGTAAAGTGGAGGATCAGAGGAGAAGGGGAAGCCCCTCAACGAGATGGATAGACACAGTGGCTGCAAGAACAGACTCAGGTATAGCAAGGGTCCTACTGCTGGCACAAGATGGCAGTGTTTCATTCTGCTGTGCATAGGGTCACTATGAGTCAGAGACAACTCGGTGGCACCTAACAACAACAACAACATAAGTAATAGAATGGAACCCAGAGAAGGCTGCTCTGAGGTCACATATGAAGTGAGGAAGTGGTCCCTGGAGACATCTGAAGGAAGAGTCTTTCAGATAATATTCCTGAAAGCAGAATATGCTTCATGTATTTAAGGTACAGCAAGGAGTATAATAAAAATTATATATTAGGTATTGTGTTATTAAAAAGCAAAAGGTTAAGTTATAATTTCTGAGGGGAAAAAAATAAAGCACACATTTTAAAAGACTAAAAGAAAATGTAAAAAATTAACAAATGTCTTATGTGGGTGATGAGCCATGGGTGATAAGCCAAGGGTGATGTCTTTGGCTTCTTTTTTTCATTTATATAACACTCAAGTTTTCTGAGTATGTATTACAATCATATTTTTTACAACTCAAGAACATTTTAACAATGAAAATACTTGTTGATAAGAGAATATTCTTTATGCATGGTTATTTACTATTATTTTCTCTCCATTGTAGCTGAAATGTTAGTTTATTTAAATTTTCTAATGCATGCATAACATAGTTTGTTACAAAGCTCATTCTTACTAATATCCCATTCAATACTGTGACTACAAGGTTTTCTCTGCGATTACACTGAATACAAATTGTATCTTTCAACTGATGTCTCATGACAGATGTTTGTCTTTTGAAATCTCTTCCCATCTTCTAAGGTGAAATATTACTCTCCATTTAGCAAACTTTTCTTCAGATAGGTAGTCACTGAAAATGCTGAGATGATTCACTTAATTGCTCTTTCAAAACGGACTTCTCTAATTCAAGGAAGCAGCAAAGGATTCGTAGAAATGAGATTATACATCTAGAAAACAAATTATATTTGTAATGTCTTCATTTGTGTTCAAATATCTTTTATCCTAAATGTTGTTGTTGTTATGTGCCAGTCGAGTCAGCCCTGACTCATAGCAACCCCTCCTTGGGTTTCCAAGGCAGTATCACTATGGAAGTAGATTGCCCCATCTTCCTTCC